CTTTCTTACACCCTTAGACATCTTAAAGAAATAAAAGTTGAGATCACAAATGTGAGAGAGAGCTTGCATCCGTTGGAGACTGTACTAGAATATTGTTGCTGATGACAGCACTTTTGGTGTCAATAGTGTTGAAATTATTGAAATTGCTTTTGGGAGATTGCTACTAGTTGAAGTGAGATGCTGGATTGAGAGGAAGCAGTGATGTTGGAATCTTGGGAAGGGTGGAGATTGGTGTGTAAGGAGGATGGAGGGAGTGGAAAGGAGAACAATTTCTAGGTGGGAAGTAGGGAAAAAATTACCTTCCATATAAGTGAATTGATCACAATCTTTAATTTTGTTTCTCAGTCATGCATCCGAAATCATCCAAAATATTAACTCTTGGCATATAAACTATCATAACTCCACTATCACCTTTACTCTCATAGGAAGAGAACCCCTTATTTAAATCCAGCTTAGATGAATATCCTATATTGCAATGGATTGTGGGATAAACTGAAATATCCTTAAAATAGATTGGTTTTTATTATGTTAAAGTTAAAAGGTTGCCATACTCTACTAATACAACTTTTCTATTTTTTGTAAAAAAATTTCATAACTTTTCTTGGAATTGCTTTTGTAGAAATTGAAATATCTCTCTTGTCTATACTACTGAAGAGTGAGGACACAAATGTTTGTTTAGTCGCCATAAAAAATGCTATCCATGCTATTTAAATGGATTTGTTATTCTTATTGTTGATTTGACATAATTGTAAGTTGATATTCTGGGGCCTCAATGAGTTTCTTCTGTTCAGATATTACAAGCACCACAATGACTACCTTGAAATATGTCGATGCTACAAGGCCATCTATGATATCCCATCTGTCAAGGAAGACCCTGAGCAGTGGACACCGGTAAACAATGCTTCACTAGTATCATGTTGCACTTTCTTGTGGATCTTTAAAGTTTATTAATTTAGTATTTTATGCAGATTTTGAGGAAAATTTGCTGGTATTTGGCTCTTGCCCCACATGATCCAATGCAGTCAAGCCTTCTAAACTCTACTCTGGAGGATAAGAATCTTTTTGAAATCCCTAAGTTCAAGTATGTCATTTACAGCCTAAATAGTTTTCATCCTATTTCAGTTATACTTCTGAATATGCATTTTACATTGTGTTATGGGTTCTTTTGATGTACTGCTGTAGGTCACTGTTGAAACAGCTGGTTACAATGGAGGTTGTCCTTTGGACCAGTCTTTGGAATGAATTTGAGGGTGAATTTGAGAATGAGAAGAGTTTGGTTGGAGGCTCTTTAGGCGATAAAGCTGCTGAAGATCTTAAACAAAGGGTCATTGAACATGTAAGCTTTTCTACCATTGATCTATATCATCTACAATCCTCAGACAATAAGGTTAATAATCATATTTTGATTCTTTGCTCTCATTGCAGAACATACTTGTTATTTCAAAATACTATTCAAGGATCACCTTGAAGAGACTGGCAGACTTATTATGCCTTAGTATTAAGGTTTGCTGCCTTTATGAGCTCGAATACTTGTCTATAATTTCTATCTTGGATTCTATTTAACTAGATACATTAGACAGCTTTTTGGATGTTTCTTCTAAAAATCCTTGTTTAAGTTGAAGATTCAATCAGCAATTCTGGCAATTATGTTTAATATGTTTGGTATGCATGTTGCATGCATTCTTTAAATGATACAGGGAATATATATATATGCTGTAGACCTAAGTTTAAATTTAAGTTTGGCTCTGACAGTGGAAATTTCATGTTACATTGGTGAGGCAATTGATCTCATTGTGCTTGATGTGGACTCACTTAGATTAGTCGAGCTAGCAGATTACTAAATCCACTCAATGTGGCCAAGCTAGCCCCTTGAAAAGAATGACATCAACTTTATTTGACAGATTAAAGTTTTATGTCTTAGCACTTTGACTTGATTTTGTACTTCTCATCTTTTCTTACTCTGATCTGACTTGTACTTGTGGTCTCAGGAAACGGAGAAGCATCTATCTGATATGGTTGTCTCTAAGGCTTTGGTGGCAAAGGTAGATAGGCCAATGGGGGTCGTATGTTTTCAGGCAGTGAAGGACAGCAATGACATCCTCAATTCATGGTCAATGAACTTGGAGAAGCTGCTTGACCTTGTTGAGAAGAGTTGCCATCAAATACACAAGGAGACGATGGTTCACAAAGCTGCTCTTAAAGCTTGAATGAGAGAATGACCTTTATGTTCATTCCAGGTTTAATCACTAGGGTTGTGAAGAAATAGCCATTTCTTAGAAATGCTTTTGATCCTTCTTTGCTCTCTTAGTGATATAGCCATTCTGCATACTTAAAAGGGTACATGCTTAGCCAGCTATTAGCTCTGGGATTCATGCTGCTAGGTCAAGTAGCATGTATTCTGTTTTGGTTTAGAGCATAGAATTTCAGTGAGGAAGTAGCATCCTTTTGTTGCTTCTGTTTTGCTGTGCTAAATACTAAAAAATCGAAAAAAATTGTCAATGAGCACCACTTGAACGGAAATTTGGACAATCTGTAATCTGGTGGTAAAAACTAGAGAAAGAAAAAAAAAAAAAAAAAAAAAGAAATTTGGACAAGAAACTTTTGCAAGGTTAAAGACTAAAAGGTGGTAAAAACTAGAGAAAGAAAAAAAAAAAAAAAAAAAAAAAAGGGGGGGGGGTGTTATATACCCAAGCCAACTAAAAATTAAAATTTGTAAGTAAAAGTAACTGGATTAGTACCCGTGCGATGCACGGTAGTAATAATCACTCTATAATTAATTGTGAAATAATATAAAAAAGATGCAACTTGTGGAATAAAAAATGCAATGCATATAGAAAAATGAAATAATAACGCAAAAATTATTAAAACTACAATTGAGAAATAAAATTATTGTTGATTAGTTTTGTTGAAAATATTTAAAAGTAGTATACATTATATTACATTAATGATGCATATTATTCCCAATAAAACTTTTAATCTAGTGACTATATGACTAAAAACTTATTCATAAATGTCTTTTAATAAACATGAAAATATTAATCAAACAATAGAATAAAATGTTCAATAAAACTATTAGCACAACATACATGTAAATATATAAATTACAAATAATATATCACCTTTTATATCCAATAAAATAATTCAATGGAAATAAATTGTACTCGTATCATTAAAGGGAATTATAATCAACAATTAGGCAATTATTAATAGTACATTTTCTGTTTATGAATTGATGCTCTACATGATATCGTCGCTCTTTGGTACTCCCTCCGTCCCTTTTTGTTCTTCCTATTTGTAAGTTTGACACTATTCATAAGGTAAGAGAATCTTCTAAATTACTCTTAATATATAATATATGATATATAATATAGTCATGTTGGGTCTTATTTGAATTGTCTCAATGAATAAATTATTAATATTCAATTGTTACATTTTTCACTAATAAACAACTAACGATTTTTTTTGGTCAAAGTGTTGCATTGGCAAACGTGCACAGTCCAAATGGCCTGGGAAAAACATTTGGGGGATAGAGGGAGTATTATAAAAAAAATGTGTTTGAAGCTATCCAATAATTGTAGTTTAATCGTTGTTTGTTTATTGCCTTAAAAGTTTATTGAAAAAAAATGATACACAAGAAGATGTCACTTGTCACTATGTTCGATGTGTCTTTTACTATGCATTTTATTTATAATGTCGAATGTAATAGATTTATCATCTCAATAACATGTTTCAACAAAAGACAATATTTTTTTTTATGTACTAAGATATAAATTTATTTAATTACGTAATACCAAAAAATTGATTGATATATATATATGATATAGTTGTCGGTCATATGTAATACTCCATTAGTCTAAGAAACAAAATATTAGAGGTATTTGAAAAAAAAAAAAAATTAAAGTGATGTCTTAAAGTAATTTCTTTAATATCAATTATATGAATCAATTTTATTATTACTTTTAGAGTTAAATTTCAATAATACTCCGGCTAAAAAATGTCCAGGCGGTAATGATAGTATCTTGTACCTGAACTAGTGGCTCACTTTTTCTATAATTAAAAAAGAGTTAGAATAATATTTTTGATAAATGTGTATGGAAGAATTAAGAACACGAAATAAAAAGAAATACATTTAATGTAAAGATAATATATAAGATTTGGAATATTTTTATAGTTGTATTATATAAATTTTCCAAAAATAAAATATTTTTTGCTAAAAGGAGAGGAGTTTTGGAGTGAAAAAACAGCACCAGAAAGTGACATGTGTCATTCCTGGTGTCTGTTTTAATATATAAGCATTGGCCATATTTTTATAGTTGTATTATACAAATTTTCCAAAAACCAAAAATAAAAGATTTCTTGCTAAAAGGGGAGGAGGAGTTTTAAAGGGAAAAAATAGCACCAGAAAGTAACATGTGTCATTAATGGTGTCTGTTTTAGTATTACATTATTGATTATTGATTAAAAAAAAATCCTATAATTTCGTTCTTCGAATGAATTTAGAATTGTCAAATTCAATTGTTTTTTGATTTGTAAGCCTAAAGGAAGGTACTACATCTCCGAAGTACCATTAAAAGAACTACATCTCTAGGTTGGTTTTTTTTTTTTTTTTTTTTTTTTTTTTTTAATAATTTGTAACTGAAAATCTAATTAATTAGATAAAATGTGGATTTGTTTTAATAAAGAAAATTACAAGTGGGTCTATTTAAAACATTTGTTTATTATGTAAAAGAGTCTCTTTTGTTTTTTTATATTGTAAGAAAATGAGTATTATCGTTAAAAATATAGGAGTAAAATCATTGCATTTTCAAAATGGTTATTTATAGACAAACATAAGTAGTGCAAGTGTGTAACCATTCATTAACCACTTGAACGTTTTCATAATGGAGAAAAGGCATACAAGAATCTTCCTTTCCTATTGATGAGAAAGTGATATGGACTTTTCACCAAGAATAACGAAAGTTCAAAAAAGAAGATAAAGGGGGTTTTAAAAGCACCAGCACTAGCCAACTATTAGTTGCATAATATAGAGAGAGTCTTAAATCTTAAATACTACATCTAATTTGGCGTTACATTTACACTTTTACAAATCAATCTTAAAAATACCTTTCTTTTTTAATTCCAAAGAAAAGCAAACGTATATATACATGTACACTTCTTTGAGTCTTCGTAATGAAATGGTAAGTTGGTAATTACTTCGTATTGTCCGTAATATAATTGAAATTGTTCACTCCTAATATATCATATGATATCATCAAACCACCAATTGGACCCATTGTGCGATACTTGGTACACCTTGATTCACCGCAAACATCATATAATAACTTGGTGGAGCCACCATTGCATTAGGTGGAGCCACACAACTAACTATATAACACCCATTATTGCTAGGTGTTGCGGGCTTTACATCCAACTTTACTAGCCTTTGTCCTTGAGAGAAAGAATGTGTAGCAAATGGCGCATTTCCCAAATTAATCTCAATGGGTGCCACTAGAGGGAGGGTAGTTGTTATCTCTACCTCAAATTCTTGGCCATATTTTAAACTTTTAGGCCACCTTTTTATTTCAGGCCGTAGATTAGCTCGATCTGGACTCAAGTACTCAGGTGAGAACGCCTCAAGACGTAGTTCAGTTGGGAACTCTGCCTTGAAGTTGTAGAAATAATGCGGGTTACTACCCGCTAGTAAAACTCGCCCATCGGGTAATAAATTAGCAGTCGAATGGTACATCCGAGGAATCGTACCTGGGTTCAACACCATAAATCTTAACCCCACCGGTTGATCAGGTCGATAAAGGACTGGGTTCAAGCATGGGTTGGACGCCAAATCGAAACCTTGGGTCCCACTTTGGGCACCATTTATGATCAACACTTCACCAGTTGGTAACATGACCATATCACCCATGACCCTAGCAAAAGGCATAACCTCCATCTCCCAAACCGGATCATCTGAAGTGGCTACAATCCGACCACAACTACCAATAGCTGGAACCGAATCATCCAATGTAATGTAGGCCCCAAATTTGGCCCCACCACAAACCACAATCACAGCCGTTGAGTAATCACCTTCTAATGCAAGCATAACCGATGATCCAGCAGACGGGTAGTTCCTAGGTCCACCATCCAACGACGGATATTTTTTCAAGATTAAATTTTTATCATAATCATATAAAACAGATTTAGTATTAGCAAAAATAAATAATTTCCCATTTGGTAGAAGATGAACATATGGATACAAATTATCTCCTTGCCTATCTGCCACGTCAGCAAGAAAAGGAAACAAAACGGCACCGTTTTCCCTTGGAGGGTAAAACTCAACTGAAAAGGCAACTCTACCCCCAACAATAATAACATCACCATTAGGTAAAATTTGATTAGTAGAATACCATCTTCCTTGGGACAAACCGACGTCGTTTAGCTCCTCCCAGTCACAAAACTCCGTCGTTTCACACGGCGTAAACTTACGAATCTTCTTCCACCCGTCCATGTCACCACCCGTTTGAAGGAGGGTTCCATCAGGGAGGAATTGCCCGGATGAGCACCACGTGTCAGTTTGGATGATCAACGGTCGGATATGGTTGGTTGTAGGGTCAAAGAGAGCAGAATGAGCGTAACAATCATGCTTCAAAACGGCGTCGTTTGAGTCATTACGACAATGATGTTTAGGTAGAAGAAGCTTGGTGGGGCCGATGTTGGTTCGGTCAAGGAGAACCACCGTGCCAAAGTGGGTGACGGCGGTGTGCATGGAAGCAATGCCTACGTCGTGTACAAGAAGTTCCCACGTGCCAGGAAGGTCACTAGCACGTGAGAAGACGGCGAAAATGAAGAGAATGATATAGGTAATGAAGTAATGGAAGGGGGTGAAAGTGATCATAGTGGAAGGAATAATAATGTAGGAGTAGAATAAAGGATGGATTTTAGTAGAGTTTGAAGTTAATGGAGAATAATGGTGGAATTAAGAAGAGGAAGAATTATAGACATGACATGATGTGTAGGAGACTTTAATGCATTTATGTATAGTGAATTATTGAGGTAGTAAAGTACACTTAGTGTGTAGAAGAATAGTAGACTCAAAAGTTTAAGCACTTTTTGGGTTCTTTGGGAATATTTTTTAAAGTAAAAAGTTTACAGAATAATGTATAAATTATGTCTAATTATGTGTGTGGTGGTAATAACAAACCAAAAATAATTCGATTACTTAAGAACTAGTTAGAGGGGTTATTATCAAATTTTGTAGCTTATGATCATAAAGCCTACATGTAGATTGGTCGGCAAAGATAGTAAATCATAATGCCTCTGTCTATAAATGCTCTTTTTGTTTTGAACAGTGATATACTTCGTATTGTTTTATGAAAAGTTAACAGTAAGAGCTTTTAGAGATGGAATGTTTATAAACAACCTTTATTTTGATAAAAGATACTAAAACTTAAATGTCTTTAACATGGAGCTAACAAAATAGAAAATCAGGTCAAGGATTTGTACTGTGTTGATTTCGTGTTATTGTTAAATGATTCAAATCTATCAAAAATAAATTACGTAGTAAAATAATTGCCCATAATATCATAAATTTATCTAATCGAATTGAATTCGAGTTGCTTCATATTTATGTTGTGTCGAGTTCAAGTTTCTCTCAATGATTTTGAGTTGGACTATTGCCATACGTGTAAATCAATCACCTCTTTTAATTCCGACTAAGAAGAGTATTATTCTTCGTATATTCATTCTATACCTTATGTTTATACTCCATATATATTTAACAATAATTTACACAACTAATTTTACTTTTTATATATGGCACATTGGCATGCACATGAAGAATATGCCAAGTTTTAATTAGTAGATTCACAACTTCATATTATGTACAGTACTACTGTATTTGTCTTTGCAAAGAGATGAGAAGAAAGGCAAACCTACTTGCATTGATTGGATGATCCATAGAAAATTAAAGACTATTAATAATATACTTTATTAAAATAAATATAAGTACAATGAACGAAGATAGAAAGACAGGTGGATAAATTTGTTTGGTGACTTAGTCTAATAGGATAATAATGCAACAAAACCTATCATTCAAATTGCATCATCCTTTTGGCCAAGTCAATTTCAATCGACTTCATGATGGGATGCAAGGTATGGTCCTTGATTTGCTTGCTTATGAAAACGAGTGTTCTCACGTAATAATGTAATGAGTATGGAACTAGTTTTACTAAGCTTAATTATTATAGACTAATTAATTAACATTTATATAAGTGGTGATTATTGATGGTTACGTTTGGTTGTTTATTATCTTTGAATATAAGAATAATTAAAGACGACTAAAAATAATTAATGGTTGTATAAGTGGTGATTATTAATGGTAATGTTTTGTTGTATAGCTTCGAATATACAAATTATAAAAGGAATATTAATGAGGACTAAAAATAAGGTATGAGAAATTATTAGATTACGGATAAAGTCGAATAAAATCAAATTGTGATCTAACACATAGTACTAAAAGCACAACCAAATTATTATTGATTAAGATTGATATCGCAATCACTACTTAACTCTTTGATTGTCACGACCACTCCCATTGTATGCTTGGCCTCAGGCGTTAGGCCCAAGCAACGATCGATATAAGGGGGAGGAGGTCAGGCCGGAGGCGGCTTTCATTGGGGGCTTGGGGCTATGTTATATACGGATTGGAAGAGACGGAAGGAAAAGGCGGAGGAAATTAATAGAGAGAGTGAAGGTATAGTTAATTAAAAGGCTTACGAGGGGAAGACGAGGTGGATTGGGAGTTGATTACAACAAAAAATAGCAAACCCCTAGTGAATTTTATTTCTCTAATGATATTAGCTCACAAGTTACTTACAAATCTTTGGGAATTGGGATTGATTATTGGTCGTCTATGTCATACCTCAAAAGGGGGTATTTCATATCTATGGCAAAAAAATAAAATAAATAAAATAAAAGTTGATTTTTTAATTTATTTTTTTCACAGGAATAAAAGTTGAGTTTTGTCTCACATAGTGTTTATCTTTTGCAAATTGCAATATATGGTTTGGGATTGATATGGGAAAAGTTGTATTTAAAGTCTATTTTTTTTAGGTAAATCAAAGTATCAAATAACTGGTTTAAATGTAACTCACTTAATTGACAAAAGTTTAAGGTGTACGTTAAAAAATCGGTCCATATTAATTTTAAAAGGATTATTGCAGACCTCAGGCCGGATCGGATTGCAAAGAACTAAGCTAGTCCATTCATCGGATTTAGAAATATAATTTTTTGATCTCTGATCCAGTCTTTTTGTTTGCTTGGATTTCAAATAGATATTTAATTTGTGGAAAACTACCTTTTAAATACACAAGTTTGATAACAACTACAAGTACCTTTTCAAACATTCAGATTTAGGCCCCATTTTTTTTACCTATTAATTTTATAATCCATTTTCATGTTACAACTATAATCCTTGTTCTTGGTGATTCAAGCAAAATTTACTCGTAATTCAAAATAGCTTAATTTTTATTTGATTTGGAATTGCAAATTTCAAAAATATAAATTTGGAGAATTAGAGATGATAAAGAAATTTAGGAATCTAGCTTTATAAATTAGTGGAATAAGTAATTTAGTATGTATATATAAATTTGAAGAATTAAGTTTCGGGTGATTAGGATTCTAAAATTAATTTAGGGGTTTAGGATTCTTAGCAAATTAGGGCTTAGGGAATACAAATTTATAAAAATTGGTGAATAAGGGATCAAATTAGGTATCATCAATTTAGGGAATCAGGGTAATATTCCATATTTGGATGATTTGAAGTTACAAATATGGAATTATTTCAATTTTGAGCATAAAATTTGAAAATTAGAGTGTTAATCATTCAAAGTAGGGTTTTAGAAGTATAATTAAACTTTTGCCAATAGTAATTAGGAGGAAGTCAAAAAAGTGGAGCCCGTAAACATAATTTTTTGACAGAGCCGTTTGTGGGTATTGCCACTTAAATGTTTTTTTTTATAATTTCCAAAATTGTGTATTTTATAGATAGTTTTCGACCAAAATATTTTAAAATTTCAAATTTTCGATTTAGTCTGATTCAGTTTGGCCAATCTAGTCTTGTATTAGTGAACAACCCTAGGCAAAAAACTTCACGTGAAAATGTGAAATCTTACTCACTTATGGTACTTCTTATGTTTAATTAACCACACTGTCATCCATCTAGCTATAAATTTGTTGTTTCAATTTTTATGTGAATAAGTGATCATAAAGACTTGCATACAACTCGATCCAAGTATGGGTTGACTATCATGTCATGGAAGAGTTTATATACCCAAATACCTTATAAGGTAATATTGCATTTGTATTTCAAAACTTTTTCGTTTCTAGTTCAATATCTTTATGACACTTCTTTTAAAAGCAAACATCAATTAAGATCAAAATGATGTTTGGTAAAATGCCCTTAATTCACTGTTAAATTACACATCCTATCTTTGGCCTTCTTTGCCTGTTGAAGCAAAAGATAACAATCATTAAATTAGGGACAAAGTAAACCTAATTAATCCACAAATTAAACAAACATTATAACAAAATACCTAGCATTTGAAAATGGCAAACACTAACCTCTTTGTCCCAATTGGTACGTAATGTTATGAGTAGGAGAAAAAAAGATTGGACGACTAAGGCCAATATAATTCCTGCCCATAGTCCCTGCATAAGGTCACCAAAACTAAATTAATGGAGATCTAATTCTTTTCACGATGAGATTTATATAAATATACTACATTAATTGAATGAACCATAAACAAACATATTAGAAATTTAGAAGTGATATATATATATATATTATACAAAGTTACAAAACAAGCTAAGCCTAATAAATATATCACACTTACCTTGCCTCGAAAGTGATACACAAATGCTAGCAACAAGGCACAAGGAATGCCTAGTAGGTAATAAGCTCCCAAATTGATGTAAGCTCCAATTTTTTGCCAACCACATCCTCTAGCCGTGCCTAAAACCATCACCAAAATAACATTTATTAGGCAACCTTTTAACGCCAGTTCTTACATGGTCTATATAGTTATTACCTACGTTCGAAAAAGTCATACTCCGTATTACACAATATAACTAGTACTTCTTCCGTTTCTTATTAGATGACACGTTTTATTTTGGCGCATATATTAAGGAGGAATGCAAGAGAAAATCAAAAGACAAATATACTCTTGCCCTTACCTACCCCACCCACTTACCCTTAACCACACTGCCGTTTCTTCTTGGCCCTTGACACATTAATCAACCATCTCCACAGACTCACCGCCACCTACCTTTCACCAGCCACCATCACCACCAATATATGGACCTCAAAATTTATCTCCGATCCCCATTCTTTAAACTCTGAAATCATCTTTCATCATCCTAATTTGCAAATGTCCCAAAACCCGATTAATTTGATTAAATTTTTTTTTTAAAAATCAAGTCTTTGAAAGGTGTTAAAAATCAAGTCTTTGAAAGGTATGAATTGTCGATGCCGGAACTAATTGTCGTTTTTATGGAACCAAAAGTGTAATGATGAGCTTTTGGTAATGGTGAGCGAGGATGATAAAAATAAAACTACTGGGTACAATTGTCGAATTTCAACTTTAAAGACAAACAGTTATCTTCAACCGAAAGTCTGAAACCAATCTCGTGGGGATGATGATGCGCGTGGAGGCGATTGATGAGGCCATGTTAAAGACTCAAAATAAACTACACTGTTTTTAAGGTTTTCAATGGTTTTCTATGTATTCAAAAATGCTCGGGTTACAGCATTATATACAAGTTCTACTTGCCTAATTGGTCTACAATTGCGGTCTGTAATCACTCCTTAATCACAGCCTGTAATCACTCTAAAAATCAGAGTGATTTGATTTAATTATCCTAAGTATAGAAAGAGGAGAGATTTACAGAACATTACAGAATATTATAGAATATTCTAGATTTCTAACACTCCCCCTCAAGTTGGATGGTAGGATCTCTACCACCCAACTTGCTCAATGCTTGCCCAAACACTTGTGTAGAAACAACTTTAGTTAAGATATCTGCTAGTTGATCTTCTGATCGAACAAAAGGTAGAGTTATCACTTTTTCATCTAGATGGTCTTTGATGAAGTGTCTGTCAATTTCCACGTGTTTTGTTCGATCATGCTGGACCGGGTTTTCAAATATGCGTATGGCAGCCATATTGTCGCAGTACAACTTACAACTTTTCTTTGGTGCATACCCAAGCTCCTTTAGGAGTTTTCTGATCCATAGGACTTCAGTAATTCCTTTTGCAATTCCCCTAAATTCTGCTTCAGCACTCGACATAGCAACTACCTTTTGTCGCTCACTCTTCCACGAAACCAAATTTCCACCCACAAAAGTGAAATAACCAGAATTCGATTTTCGATTGTCACGATCTGCTCCCCAATCTGCATCTGTAAAGGCGTGAAGATCTAAATGGCCATGGTTCTCATAAATAACTCCCTTTCCAGGAGTCCCTTTTAAATACCTCAGAATCCGGTATACTGCCTCGAGATGCTGCTTCTGAGGTTTATGCATGAATCTGCTAACAACTCCAACTGCATAAGCTAAATCAGGCCGAGTATGAGACAAATATATTAGCTTCCCAACGAGTCTCTGGTACTGCGTCTGATTTACTGATTTAGCTCCTTCAATAATCTGGAGCCCATGGTTCATAACCATAGGATTGTCGGCTGGTTTACAGTCTATCATACCTGTCTCTGTCAAGAAATCCAGGATATACTTCCTTTGAGATATAAAGATACCCCTTTTGGACCTGAGTACCTCTATTCCCAGGAAATACTTAAGATTTCCAAGATCCTTCATTTCGAATTCCTTGAAAAGTTTCTCCTTCAATTGCTCTATTTCTTCTGTATCATCTCCTGTTATTATCATATCATCAACATATATGATAAGACAGGTAATTGCAGTACCTCTTCTTTTGAGAAACAAGGTATGATCTGCATTGCTTTGTTTGTATCCGAACTTCTTCATTGCCACAGTGAATCTTCCAAACCACGCCCTTGGTGACTGTTTCAGTCCATACAAGGCTTTCTTCAGTCTACAACCTTCACCTTTACCAAAGCCATGTGAGAACCTTGGTAGAGCTTCCATATAGACTTCTTCAGAAAGATCTCCATGAAGGAATGCGTTTTTTACATCGAACTGATACAGGGGCCAATCTTTGTTCACTGCAACTGAAAAAAGCACTCTGATAGTGTTGAAGTTCGCTACTGGAGAGAAAGTTTCATCATAATCTATCCCATAAGTTTGCGTGTACCCTTTAGCTACCAGCCTTGCTTTATATCTTTCAATGCTGCCATCTGCTTTACATTTTATTGTAAAGACCCATTTGCAGCCTATGGGTTTTTTCCCAGTAGGTAGGGTACACTTTTCCCAAGTCTTATTTCGGACCAGTGCATTTATTTCTTCCTCCATGGCTGATTTCCAGTTTTTACTTCTAAGAGCTTCTTCTGTTGTGGCGGGAGTGCTTTCAGAGTATAAGGCTGCACTGTAGCTCTTTGCTCCTTGGGATAGATTTCCCTCTCCTGGCTTGCTCACAGGATATTTTGATCTTTGGGCTTCAAATTCTGGATCATACCTCTTGGGAGGAACACCTCTTGTGCTCCTTGGTGGCAACTCATACCTGCCATGTTCAGGACTCAACGACTGATCTTCCCTTGCACCTGGTACTACATTTTCACTTTCAGAAGGTACATTAGTAGATTCAGGTGACCTAGACTCAGAAATATGGCTCGATTCTGGTGCACATACCTCTATTTCATTTGGATTAGTAGGCATGGTATTAGGAAGATCGAGCTGTATAGTGTTATCAGTTGCCTCGGCGGTATCACCTACCTGTTCTTTTGGGTCAGGAACATTCAGTTCTGGATAGACCAACCAACTTAGATCCTCACTAGGGCTCTCCCCCTGAGATCGAAGGTGGTGATAATAAAATTCTGTTTCGACAAAGTCACAATCCATAGTAGTATACAATCGGTTTGCAACTGGGTCGTAACAGCGGTATCCTTTTTGGTTAGTTCCATACCCAACAAAGACACATTTGACAGCCCGTGGTTCTAGCTTATTTCTATTCCGTTTGGGTAGATGTACATACACAACACAACCAAAGACTCTAGGTGGTAATGAGTGGGCAGTAGGAACACTGACATGGTTTTTAAGGGTGTCTAATGGAGTAGAAAAATGTAGGCTTTTTGTAGGTAGGCGGTTGGTGAGGTAATTGGCTGTGGAAATGGCTTCAGGCTAGTAATAGGCAGGAACAGAAGATTCTATCATCATGGCCCGAGTCATTTCCAGGAGAGTTCGGGTTTTTCTTTCTGCTACTCCATTTTGTTGTGGAGTGTCAGGACATGTAGTTTGGTGAATAAGGCCATTTGTTTGGATGAAGGTTTCCATATCAACGTTTTTATACTCGGTTCCATTATCAGACCTGAGAATTCTAATTTGGGTTTGAAATTGTGTTTGGGCCATTTTGTAGAAGGAGACAAAGGTGTTAAAGACATCAGATTTATTTCTAAGAAAATAAACCCAACTCATCCTAGTGGCAATCATCGATAAAGGTAACATAATATAGAAAACCATGTTTATTAAACTCTGGAGCTGGACCCCATACATCAGAATGGATTAAAATAAACGGTTTATCAGTTCGACTCGCACTACTTGGATAAAAATGTTTATGACTCTTTGCAACAATACAAGCTTCACAATCAAAAACAAAATTCGAACTCGAAAGGGAAGGGAAGAGTTTTTTTAAATACCCAAGAGATGGATGACCTAAACGCCTATGCCAAGTCCAAAGCTGTTGTTCAACCGTCCCGCGAACAAGCGCTGCTTTACCATGTTGAGGCATCCGAGTAACATAATACAGTCCGCCTTCTTCAATACCATGCCCAATAATCTTCCCTATCCGAGAATCCTCAACAGTACATCCACGAGAATTCATAAGAACAGTACAGTTTAAGTCCTTTGTCGATTGGATAATAGAAAGTAATTTATGGGATAAGTCCGGTATAAAGAGGCAATTAGGTAGTTTGATGTTATCAGAAATTTTGACAACACCAGACCCCTTTGTTTTAATTACCTCTCCGTTGGCTGTTTGTATATGGTCCTTTTTTGGTGTATGGATTTTTTCGAGATCATTGATATCAAAAGTCATAGTGTCTGTTGCTCCACAATCGAAAATCCACCTATTATTTTTATTGGGTTTGAACATTAAGCCAACAGATTTTTTATGAGAGTTTGAATGGGTAGGTTCACTAAATTTCTGTTCTAAGTCCACATGCTCAATCTGTTGGTCTAGGTCCACGGTTTTGGGCTCAACACAAATGGGCTGAAATGAATTTTTAAGAGGTATACTCTCCTGATTTTTGTAGTCATATAAATAGGAGTCTAAGGTTTCATCCTTCATACCTTCTTCTTTATTTTCTTTCAAACCTGATTTTGTAGCAGTGGTGGCTGCTGCTGCCGTTACTCCTCCTTCACCTGTCGCTGGTGCTTCGCCGGTGCTCAGAGCTGCCTTACCGGTGCTACCTCTTTCTCCTTTCTTCTTTCGTTCAGTCCACCACTCCGGGTACCCTATTATTTTGAAGCACCCATCCTTGGTGTGGCGGGTACCGCCGCAATGAGTGCACTTGAGTCCCGATTTTTCATTTTCTCGCCGGAAAACCGGTTTCTCTGCCCTTCCTTTGGCCGCAAAACCACTGCCGATCTCTGATGATTGGGTAGATGAGGAAATCGGGGTGGTTGTTCCGGTTGATTTCATGATTCCGCGGCGAGCCACTTCTCTTCTGATGGTGGCGAACGCCTCTTCAGGGGTTGGAAGGGGTTCTCTGTTGAGGATGTCCCTCCGATCTTTGTCGAGTGAGTCATCAAGTCCAGCAAGAAATTGGTATAACCTGTTGTTCTGGATTATTCGATTAAAGGTATTTTTGTCATCTGGGCTAGTCATTGGATTAGGAACTCTTCTATCAATTTCCTTCCATATTGTTGTTAACTTGCTATAATAGACCTCTACTGGGTCTATCCCTTGCTGCATCTTGTTTGCCCGGACCGTAAGGTCAAAGATTTGGAGTCCGTCTTTGCTGCCTCCGTACAAAGTTTCAATCCCCTTCCACAAGTCTCTTGCGGTTGGGTAATCCAAAAACTGATTTTGCAGTTCTGGATCAATGTTTACGATAATCCATGACCTTACCAACGAGTCCCGCTGAGTCCATCTGCTGTATTCTGGGTCCTCGGGCAGCGGTGGTGAGGCTGTGATATGACTGAGCCTCCCCCTGCCTTCGAGTTCCAACTGCATCAGTTTGGACCATTTCATAAAATTTTTATGGTTTAGTTTTTCTGGGATTTGGATGGGTTGATTTGGTTGTTTTAGTGGTGTTTAACTTTGATAAAAGTTACATTAAAGCTTCCATGGTCACTGGTTGTTGTACAACCTCTTTGCTGTCTGTTTCCATGGTAGATGATGTTGCCTGATCGTCTCCGATTACCGGAAAAACGAACCTTGCTCTGATACCAACTCAAAATAAACTACACTGTTTTTAAGGTTTTCAATGGTTTTCTATGTATTAAAAAATGCTCGGGTTACAGCATTATATACAAGTTCTACTTGCCTAATTGGGCTACAATTGCGGTCTGTAATCACTCCTTAATCACAGCCTGTAATCACTCTAAAAATCAGAGTGATTTGATTTAATTATCCTAAGTATAGAAAGAGGAGAGATTTACAGAACATTACAGAATATTATAGAATATTCTGGATTTCTAACATAAAGTGGAGGCGGCGGTGGCGGTGGTGGCGGAGAGAGAAAATAAGATGGTGTGAAGTGTGATGGTGTGATATGTTGGGTAAATGGGTAAAGAGGAGAGAGATTGGGTCAGTCATTGTGAGGAGAGAGATTAAGATTGAGGGTAAAATTGACTATTCAATACAAAAAATATGCTTAAAATAGAAACGTGTCAACTAAAAAAAACGGAGGTAGTATATCAGTATAATATTTATGGATTTAAAGCATATCACAAGCCAAAACTAATTAATATAGAAAAGGTAATACTCCCTCTGTCCCTATTTTTTTGCCCATTTGATTTTTCACGATTTTCAAGACGTATCTTATAACGTATATAACTCCATTTATATATGCGTAAAAAATTTAAAAACTAAATATAGCAGTGATAAAATATACAATGAAACGAATCCAACAAGACCCTACTTGACTATATTATCTCTAGAGATTAATTGATATATATAGTCAAAATTTTCAAAGTTTAACCCAATTATTTGCAATGGTGCAAAAAAATAGGGATAGAGAAAGTATGCAGTATTTATTTTTTAAATCCTAAAATAGACGTAATTAATTAATTTTATATAAAAAAAAATTTAGGTATTTTAACACTCTCTCCATCTCATAAAGTTTCAATGTGCAGTCAAACTCTTACCTGAAAGCACAGATTGAACGCCATCAAAAAAATGTGAAACTGAAAGAAGAAGCATCATTTGTCCAACATATTTCACTACCTCTTCTTCTGTGCTATAACAATATCCCCAAACATTGTGCCCCAAGATCAACAAAAATGCTGCTGAAATCCCTTCTACCCCTACCATCAACGTCGAAACACATACCGCCAATCGAGCTAAATGCGGTCGTCCGGCCCCCAATTCATTGGAAACCCTTGTACTATTAAGAGCACAAGCAAAACATAATCAAGGTCAGAGACAATGTGATAATTATTTTAAAATGCAGGGAGTTTAATTTATTAATTGTTATACCTTATTGCTCCACTTAATCCTAGTGGTAACATGTATATTGATGTACATGTGTTGAGACTGCAAATTAAATCAAACTAGTTAATATTGTAAACTTGATAATTTAGGAAATTCGCAATAAATAAGAACACCTTTTAAGTATGGTGCAAGATTTATGAATTAGTTTACTGGTAAAGAAATGTTACCTGATTGAGAGAACAGATGTTTCAAGCTTTGGGTTTGGAAGAAAACCAGCTAGTAGAACCATCATCTCAAATGTCCATACTTCCAAGCTTTATCATCATAAAAATTATGATTTATTATTAGTGAGTAATAATGTAGCATATGTTAGTGTGCTTAAAAACATGCATTGTGGGAGTAGAGAAAAACGAAATCTTGTATGGAGAGATATGTATACATACCAATTAAGACAAGTTTCAAGTTTGAGCAAAAACTAGGATGTAATTGAGCCAAGTAAACCTTAGTAAGGTAAAAGTCAATGAATGTTTGGAAAACCAAAAGCATAGTTCAAGGCTTGATTAGTTGATTTCAACTCAATTTAATATATACTTGTTGTTCGTAATAGAGAAATATTCTGATTAATGTTGCCATCCTACATAGAATTCATAAAATGCCATCAATGTGATTTTCAAAATTTAAAGCACGCATCACATGCATATATGAATCATTAAAACCAACCAAATTAAAATTATGTTATGTTATGTTCTATTTTTTATATTCAAAGTGCTACTCATATAATTCACCGTTTGCTAAAATAAAATAAAATAAAATAAACACTTACCATGACATAACAGCAGAAGGAACAGCAAGTCTAAGAAACTCTGGAATGTCATGAAAAGCGTCCATTGAGAAACCAGTCCATGTCTCTTTACAAGCAGGAGACACCCTCACATAAACACCCAACAACACCACATTAATCCAATACGATATGGCGTTCGACAATGCCGCCCCTCGGTTGCCTAGTCCAGACTTGAACACCATAAACCAACAGATAACAACATGCAACAGAGTTGTAAACCCTGTAGTAAGCATCATAGGAACAACAATGTTTTGAGCTTGTAGAAATCCAATGTGACATTGAAGAAGACCATATGCAAATATACTCGGAATCATGTAATGTGCATAAATTCCTGCTTCAGTTGAGATTTCTTCATCTTGGCCTAAAAATGCAAGAATTTGTCCTGTATTTCCCCAGATAATTGCAAGAGGAATGCTGATGCAGAGGATAACTACCATTGCTCTTTGCTTGTGTATTCCTAGCATTTTGTATTGCTTTGCTCCATATGATTGACCACAAAATGTGTCTAAGGCATATGCCATTCCTCTCTATCAATAGCAAGCATTAGTAACTATAAGAGTTGTGCGTGACTGATGCACGAAAGATTAAAGAAATCAACCAACAAGAACACAGATTTTATTTACGTGGTTCACTAACAACGAGTTAGCTACATCCATGGATAGGCGAGGAGAGTAAAATCTTTGCACATGGTCTTCTTCAATGTCACACATGAAACTAATCTTCACATTCACACATTTTCACAATCATATAATGCCTTTTTTTTTTTTTTTTTAAATAAGGAGAAGGACCCTGACTATATACCTCAATCCTCACGGTTTTTTTGGTCCAGTATTTGTGGGTCGGACACTTTGAGAGTGAGGGGGAAGGGTAAGAGATCTCCTACCCTCAAAGTGTCTCTAGTGAGGATTAAACCCCCAACCTCAAGTCCTCAAAATTGAAAGGTACAATCTTTACCACTAAATCAAGCTTAGCTTGGTTATAATGCCTTCTAATTATCTTATAAATAACATAGTTATAAAAATTTACCAAATACAATACTAATTTATATTGTGGTTAGGTAAGATGAAAATTTCAATTCTTACTCCTCACAAATCAACTTAACACAGCCTCTGCAGGCTAAGTCATAAGAGTAAGGATAACAGAACAGTTACCATTATTGGCAGGAGTTGAACTCGTAACCTTAAAGTCACAACTTGCGAGTTAGAGTTCTTACCAAGACACCAACTATACCAAGCAAGCTTAATACAAAACACGATTATTCAGTAGAACATACGAAGTATAAACATACCAGCAAGCTGAAACCGGTGACAGAGGCGAAAGAGGTGGCAACGGAAGCACCGGAAAGAGGGAGCTCACCAAGATGACCAACAAACATAACTGATACAACTTGTAAAGAAAACAGCAAGAAGTTGACAGCCATAAGAGGCCCTGCTAACACTAACTGCTTCTTCACTTCACTCAATATCTCATTTTTTCTTAATAATAAACTTTCACTACTCTTACTATTTATATTTGGACCGTCAAAAATAACGTTATTGGCATTATTATTTTCTTGAACTTCATTTGAAATTAATGGAGTTTCAAGATCTTGATTCATTTGTGGGGTGCTATTGGCCCTATTGCTAATTCTTTAGAATAGTACTAGTAGAAAGCAGATATTGGATATTGGACTTATATTTTAATTTTTTGACGTACGTGTTTTGGAATCATTCAAGTAGATATTAGCAAGAATTTTTGGATATTTTGCCATTTTTTGTTGTCTTGTTGACTTTCTTAATTTTATTCTAACAACTAACATGTGTTCATTACTTCATTGGCACATGTTAATGCACAAATAAATATTTTTACGGCTTTGCTATCAAAATTAATGAAAACCTACATGTATAAAAGAGAGTAATTGTCTGTTTGTTTTGATCATCTTATTTTAACTTATTTTAGAAAAATAAGTTCTAAAAATTACATATAAAATCAGCTCAGATAAAATAAGTTGGGACAAATTAAATTTAAATTAGTTTAAATAAAATAATTTAAGTTCATACAGAGTATAAAATAAGTTTCAAACAAAATTAGATGAACCAAACAGAGCGTAATGGAAAACTTAAAAGAAAAATTTATAAACTTCCTCATTTTAAAATTACTGTAGTTTACTCTATATTGGAAAGGCTCTCATTTGATTTCTTAGATTAATTATATTAATAAAGAATCTTTTGAGTATTTAGATATGGACAAACATCAAAAAATTCCATTTTCTTTGTATACACGGAGTACTTCATTTGATATAAAAAGCTCTTACAATATACCCCTTTATTCCTAAATAATTGACACGTTTAACTTTTTCACTATTTATATATTAATTTTGACTCTCGTGTTTTAGCGACGTATAAAAAACAAAAATTTATCATATGATATATTATTAAATAGGTATTAATATGAAGTTTAATAATATCAACTTTTTTATTACTCCCTCCATCCCTTAATTACGTGCTTATTTTCCTTTTAGGGGAGGCCCAAAGTGTTTTGCCTATTTGAAAATCTTTCTATTTAAAGGTTGTATTTTTTGACAATATTACCCTCATAAAACTTATTTAATTCATCATATCTTTCTTTTTTTTATGCTGAGTTGGCATCCTTTCTGTATTATTGATCCCTTTTGACATTAATTCCCAACCACATCCACTTTTTTTTTCTCTCTCTCTTTCTCTTTGTTAATATCCAACCACATCCACTTTTTTTTTCCTCTCTCTCTCTATCTCTCTTTTCAACCCCACATGCACAATGTATTTCCAATCATAGGATTTAAGGAATCTTTAATTTCCTTGATTCCCATGAAAAAACCCAAACGGGCACGACGAAGGGAGTAATAATTAATCATATACTTCCTCCGTTTCTTTATAGTTGCAACACACACTTTATCACGGTATTTAAGGAAAGTGGATCTCACATGATATATAATACACTTAAAAGGGGGTAAAAGGTTGTTAGGAGTATAATCAAGTGAGCCATGAGCTTTAAATAAAGGTAATAGTACAATTTTCACTATAAAACCTTCCTTTTATAGTGTGTTGCAACTATTGTGATATTTTCATTTTAGAAAAGTGTTGCAACTACAAAGAAACGGAGGAAGTATATCTAAAGTCAAACTAGTACATCGGAATGTGTGCCAAATTTGACTGTGTCAATTATTTAGGAACAGAGAGAGTTGTCAAATTAAGCAGATAAGGGATATAAAGTTCCTCCGTTAACACATTTCTGCTTTTGACACTAATACAAACTCTACTTTGACTGATTTTTGTGATTATATAGTTAAGACAAAATATAGTCATGTGAATCGTCTCAATATATATTTTTATAATATTAAATTGTATAATTTATTGAGAATTAGAGTTTTAATCGTTGAACTTGTGTGTTGACACACGTGATAAAAGAAATGTGTCAACTGAAAAAGAATTGAGTTAATATAAATTTACTTCTCAACTAACCATAGTATCTATTTAAATTATAGCCCATATACGGCTTCTTATATTGTTATTATTATGAAATGTATAGCGAATGTATCTTTAACTTCTTAGATATTTATATAGATCAAAGAAATTGCTACGAGAGTTGCGTTGAGTTAAATACAAAAATTAACATAATTGAGATCATATGAAGCATAAAGATCAGATCGAATCAAAGCTATAAAATTAAACTATAGGATATTCAAAGAAAAAAATTAGGCCAAATTTCATTCTTATGTTTCCCACTGAAATGAGTATTAGCATACAAAACAATACAAGAAAGCCATTCTTAAGATTTTCTTTTTTCGCTTAAATTTGACTTAGATTTCCTTTTTTCTTATTAGCTAAGGCCCGAAGATTAAACATCTCTTTTTGGAAATATCATTGAATTTCTTTCTCCCCTGCGTAAATGAAATGCACCGAACACTCAATTTCTTCCAAAGACTTTCTCTTTGAAGCTTCTTAAGCTTCTTTTTCATCAATTCAGTTTCCGTCAGCCTATAAATTTTCTTAATTTTCTCCATTTTCTCTTTGTCATTTTCTGTATCAAAGAAGATCATTAAAAATTGTAACCCATATAGAGTAGATAGTATATCTATTTCTTTGACGATATCGCTAATAACTTTCTTGATGGCCTTTGACATGGTTGGATTCAATTCTTTTTTATTAGAAGATTGGAAATTAAATTAGGGACCATATTAAAAAAATGAAGGTTAGGTATTTATAGACCTGGGGTCAAAGCTAAAAGTTAATGTTTTAAATTGATTTTCTTTTACAATCAACAATGTTAATGTGAAAGAAGCAAACAATAAATGAGAAAATAAATGTGATTTTTTTTTTCTTGATATTGTATATATCTTTCCTAAATTGTTCAGTATAATAATATCTATAATGATCGTTTTTTCACGAAATTCTGATAATGTGGATATCTTTCCTAAATATTTATGAAGTGTTTTTTCACTTGTTTTAATAACAAGAATAATACCAGCAAGCAAATACTAACGTGTAGATTTAATCTATATCTCATCTTTTAATCTTTGCAAATTCAATATGCAATTGTTTATGAAAATAAGGGTTTTTCCCATTGGTAGCAATATCCTTTTGTACATTCTCATTGGTAATAAAATATTTCTAAAAATCTCCTAAATAGCATTAGTTTTTTAATTGTTTTCTAGTCTAGCTTTATTCGACTAATTTTGACTTGATATAATTAATCCTACGTTACTTTCCGTAATAATTAATGTCTTAGCTTGCGTGTCCAAAAATTATCTTGACTTGTGAGCCAAGAAAATTGCTTAGCTTAGTTTAGGTTTTATGGCCACTTTGTTTCTAAATAAAAGAGTCTACTTGAGGTCAAAAATAATTATTAGAAATTCCTTAGCTTGCATGCTAAGAAACGCCTCGAGGGTTTCGTGCCTCTACTTAAAAGCATGGTAAATTGGTCAGTTGAGGTTTTTGGGATCATTTTTGTCATCAAGGTCTTAAGAGTCAAATTTGAGGTCAAAATTGGCAAAAAAAAAAAGTAATTAATGTATTGGTTTCGTGCATGAGAATCGTCTACATTTTCACGCATAAAGTGTCCGATTAATGTTTTGGAGGTTATTTTAGTGCTTTAGGGACCAATTAGAGGTCAACATTGTAAACAATAACCAAAAACGTCTTATTTTGCATTCCATAAGATGCCTCGATTTACGTGTCATGAGTTAAATCAAATATGGGTTAATTAGGGTTAATCAAGGGTTAATTAGTTAGTTAATAAGTTAGAAGTAGTCGAGTAAGCTAGATTAAAGAACATAAATAAACTAATGCTATTTAGGAAATTTTTGAAGAAAAAAATGTTACCAATGAAAATGTGTAAAAGTATATTGGTATCAAAGAATGTAAATGAATAAAGCCATGTTCTTTTGGGTCGGTTTACTCCCACACTCCGTATTATTTCACTCTGCTATGCTATGTATATTAAAAATTAATAATGGGACAATGCATGTGAGTAGTGTTGCTTGAAAGAAGAGAAAGATAGAGAAGAAGATAGAAATAAATTTGGGAGTTGTAGGTTATAAAAAAAGACTAAAAAATTGTCATAAAATGAATAATGTTTTTTTTTTCTTTTTTTGGTGAAAAAGAGGAGCAAGCCCCAAAACAAATAAGCTAAAAACAAAACCAACAAACAAAAAACAAAAACGAAACAAACAAACAAAAACAATTAAAACTAAGGCTTGTGCACAGGAATCAGACGAGCCCTAGCCACTCCACACAAATCCTCTAATAAAACAACACGAAAATTCCTCAGGACCGCTTCAAAAACGACCATCTTCTATTCGGCATGGACCCCATAGTTAGCTAACCAATCAACAACACGATTAGTTTCTCTATAGCAATGACTGATAGTCACCTTCCATCCTTGACGAGACACGATCGACTTGCATTTTCGGATAATGTGAATATAAGGAGAGGTTGAAGGGCTTTCTTCAACCAGTAAACGCACTACAATCTCCGAGTCCATAGATAATTGGACTTGTTTATGCCCTCCACTCCAAGCAAGAGCTAGCCCACGAAGCACACCAATTAACTCAGCTTTAGTATTTGAGCAACTGCCGCACTTGGTAGCAAATAAAGTATGAAGTTCCCCATCTGAACCTCTAAAACTACCTGCTCCGGCTAGCCACGGGTTGCCCTTCGAGGCGCCAGCTGTGTTAAGCGTCACCCACCCCACTCGAGGAAATTCCCATTTAATGTAAATCTCTTGCCTTTTCCTCAAGTTTTCCTCTGCATAAATTATGGAATTATCCATAGCCCTTCGAACATCTCCAATTCGAGCCATTATGAAGGTGATCTGGTCAAATGGAATATCAACATTTGTAGCAAAAGTTTTTTCACTCCTCCACCTCCATAACCACCAAATAATAACTCCAAAAGCAATCCCTTTTTCCTCCTCCATCAAGGTATCAGACTTGATGTTTTGTAGAATCCACTCCAAGCAGTCTACTGGTGAGTAAACTTCACTATCACGCCATCCAAGTTTGCGCCAAATACACCTAGTAGCAGGGCACTTTCGGAGAATATGATCAACATTCTCATCTCCTTCACCACAAATACCACACCTAGGATCATCAGTGAGTTTTCTAACAAAACAAACCTCATTAGTCATCAAGCTGTTGCGAACCGCCGTCCAAATAAACATCCTAATGCACTGTGGCACTTTCGTTCTCCATATATCACGCC